GGTCGGCCAAATGAGATTAGGTAATCTGGGTTCATTTTGTAATATACATTACAAAAATGTATATGGTTCATATACGGTCTTATAATCATTTACTTGGTCCAAAACCAATTGCAAAAGTTTTGGTTCCGTATTTCCCATCATATTCGGATAATTATGTCGTTTTAGTTTGAAAAGGTAACGGAATTTTATTTCTTTGGTCAAGCTTCAAAAATGATATAATCAATAAAATACAGATTTTAAAGCAATTGATGTCATCCATTTACGACCAAAAATGTCATGCACTCTAATATCATATTCAATGACAGATAATGACATTAGATTCCACCAAAGTCCATGATCTCCCATATGTTTTCGTCGTTTAGCTTAACATGAGTTTAAAGATTTATCTTCTATTATTATTATTGTTTTGACGAACATCTAAAAAGTTAGTGCTGTGTACGCTAAAATCACGACTAGATATTTATAGTTGACAGATTGATTTTGTTAATCTTAAGAATGTTAATGATTACCTTAATAAGTTGATTTCATGAATAGAAATCTTGTAATTCTAAAGTGACAAGTACATCAGAAGCAATGAAAAATGTTGTCAACATTGATAAAAACACAATAATAAAATCAAGAGTAAATTACACGGATAGTCCCTATGGTTTGGGGTAATTTGCGCGTTTGGTCCCTAATTAATTTTTTTAACTCGGACCGTCGCTATAGTTTGAGTTTGTTACGTTGTTGGTCCCTCGCCGACTTAAAATGACCAATATACCCTTATCTATTATTTTAATTATTTTCTATTTTATTAACTCATTAAATAAATATGTAAAATAATATTAGTATTTATTAGACGGGGCCTATATTTTCTCTATTATCACTGCAGTGAAAGTTAGAAAACCCTAAACAATCGAACACCCTTCCCCCTTCTCCTTTCTCGTGGGCGCCACCTCCTCTGTTCCACTAAAATCGGCATCGCAGCCGACCAAAACTTGCAACACCGTCGCTGACCACCTCTTCTGATCAAAACCTACACGACACTGCCGACAATTTATTCCGATCAAAACATTCAAGTCGTCGAGCACTGCTTCATCAATGATGTCGTCCAATTAAACCCAAGAACCCACCGCCGAGTGTTCAGGGGAAAGATGGCGATTGCAAAGGGGCTAGAATCCAAAAACTGAAATCAAGTCAAGCGGAATCGCGCACGATAAAGTGTGTGACGACTTGCATATGTAGCAGAGGTCTCACCTTCTCTTCCACAGTTACTGCTCGAACTCACCTTCTCTGTTTGAATTTTCTTAAAAAATTGGAAATCACATTGGGCTATGTTTGAAACTGCTTAATTTTATGGGTTTTAGTTCATTGGGGGTTTCCTAATTTGTAGTGTAGATTCAAAAGGTTGTTCATTTGAGATTTCATATGAACTTTTGGTTCAAGGTTTCATGAAGCTTTGGTTCATTTGAAGTTTCTATTCATGATTGTTTTGTGGCTTAATGTATTGAATTGCTTTGGGAAGATGAAGATTGATAGGTTGCAGGTAACATGAATAAGGTAGATGCTGGGAAGATCATCGACAATATTGCCGGAGAAGGAGGATGATGGTGGGGGAGGGTCGGGGTATGGGTCAGGGTGATGGACCCACATTTGTGAAAATTTTATTTTACATATTTATTTAATAAGTTAATAAAATAGAAAATAATTAAATTAATAGATAAGGGTATATTGGTCACTTTAAGTCGGCGAGGGACCAACAACGTAACAAAATCAAACTATAGGAAAGATCCGAGTTAAAAAAATTAGTTAGGGACCGAACGCGCAAATTACCACAAACCATAGGGACCATCCGTGTAATTTACTCTAAAATCAAAGTGCATAAAAGACATGGTTAACGACTTAATAGAGTAACAAAGTAAGCTCATACACCTTGGATAACTTTATTTTTTATACATGATTTACAAGTGACATTTGTTGTTCAATAAACACCATCAAACTACACTTGTTTAATCCATCCATGAATGTACAATTAAGCATTGCATTCAGCCATCAAGGTACAACCCAGAATGCAATCAAAAAAACATTACAAACACCAACACATACACATTACATGCATTATACATTCGATCAAAAAGAAAGTGTACAATGTCTAGAATACCCTTTCACCTCAAAGTATTCTAGAAATCAACAACTTATTAAAGGCTTCCAAGTCCATATTCTAGAAAACCAAGCAGAATCTCCAAGCTTCATATCAATGGAGGTTGTGTTACTGTTGTTATTTCCCATGTCCTGAAACGTCTTTTCACCACCATAGGGAACACTAACAGGTGATCTAGGAACACTTTCTGATTGTACAACTACAAGCTGATTAATCATTTCCAAAACCTCACTCATTTTAGGCCTTGATTTAGGGTCTCTAGACAAACACTTATTTGCAATCAATGACAACTTTAAAGCAGATCTCAATGAGTATTTTCCATCGAGTCTACTATCAACTATTAGTGGAAAGTTTTTATCATCTAGAAAAGGTCTCACCCATTCTAGAAGCTTCTGCTCACCCGCGGGTCGGTTTCGATCCATGGGTCGCCTACCCGTTATCAGTTCATAAAGAAACACTCCATAACTCCATACATCATTCTTGGATGTGAGTCGACCCGTTTGGATGTACTCTGGAGCCGAATAACCCATCGTCCCTACCACCTAATCACATTTTTTTTTTTTTTTTTTTTAAATTTAGACACTTTATAATAAATAGTTAATTTGTTTATTAATTTATTATTTATTTACCGCTGTTGTGACATGGGAATATCCTTCTTTAGGACCTAATCGAGCCATTCCAAAATCTGAAAGCTTAGCGTTCCATTGATCGTCTACAAGGATATTTGAAGATTTGAAATCTCTGAATATAATCTTTAGAAACACAAAGAGAGAGAGAACAAAATCAGTGATCTTGTAAATAACTAAATATTGAAGGTTTTTGAAGTGAGAAATTAAGGATACCTGGAAGTCCATTCCTTCATGTAGGTAAGCCAATCCACGAGCTGTGTCTTGAGCTATCTTTAATCTTGTTAACCATGAAAGGATTGTTCCGGATCTTGAAGACAAATGATATTCAACACATCTGTTAGGCATATATTCATATACAAGAAGGCGTTGGATTCCTTTTTCATGATCTTCTGCACAGTATCCGACTAATTTAACAAGGTTTGGATGCTGAACTATCCCAAGAACATTCACCTCTGTCACCCACTCCTTGTGTCCCTGTTTCATCAGAATAGATTGATCAGGAAATCAGGAATGGCGTGAAGAACTCGATTAGATGAGAAGAAAACGGATAAATTTACCTGGAATCCTCTTTTGCCAAGTTGCTTCACAGCCACATTGATCTCTTTTGTTGGATCTCGAGGATTCTTAATGGTGCCGGTGTAGACAGCACCGAACCCACCTTCTCCAAGCTTTGAGGTAATGGCGAAGTTCTTTGTGGCGGATTTGAGCTCGGAAAATTTAAACTCTC